TGGCTGAAATGTTTTTACAAGGATAATTTTAATATTATTTGAGAGGAGAGGGAAAAAGAAATTTTGAAGGTTTTAAAATTTAAAAGTGGAGACCCAAAGAAATGGGGGTCCAAAATAATTCATGAGATGCTAATAGCACTATTTATAAGGAGGTATTTGTAATTTTTCAAACTATAAGAGATAATCTGTATTTTAAACGAATATCCAGAGGTGTATTTGTAATTTATCAAAAAAAAGTTGAGTGATCCTTATTAGCTGAATCGAACCGTTATTCGCACTGCACTCTGGGGGTGTTTGGGAACCAAAAAGCCGAGTCCAGATCGTCAGTCGTCTTCCCCTGCCGCCCTTCCTGCGACGCCCCAAAATGACGTCGTTTTGGAGCCAAATTTAAATTAAAAAAAAAAACAAAAACAAAAACAGAACTGTTGTTTACAGTTCATGCTTCTCCAGTGTGCATCTTCCCCCAACAGCTCAGACGACCCCCTTAACCCTCATCCCTCTCCTCCCCCTCCGGCGATCCTCCCCCAGCCACATCACCCCCTCCTTGTTTTTCTTCTTCTTCCTCATTTCTTTCTTCTTTTAGATCTAAGAAAAGAAGAAAAAAAAACCAGAGGGAGAGGAGAATCTGGTGGGTTTAATTAAGAGAGAAGTTAGAGAGAGCAAATGAAATATGCTATTGGAGTTTGTATTAACCCACTGCTAGAGCATTTGAAATATTCTTCATCTTCAAAGTCATCATTCAAATATTTCATTTCCAATAGCCTATTATTGTCTCATCTTTCTCCACTTCGACTCTATAAAGCAAAAACACAAAATTTGGTAGGAATTTGGGAAAGAACAAGACAAAAATTGAAGTGGGTCAATACATCTGAGAGAAAAAAGGAGATGGGTTTGGTGGGTTTTGGATGGAAAAGGAAAAAATTGAGAGATGGTGTAGTGATGGGTGGTACGGCTGAAGGAGGGTCGCCGTAGGGGGGGAGAAACTGGGGGAGGGTTGCCGGAGAGGAGGGAGGGGCTAGGGGCTGGCCGAAGCTGGTGGACAGCTGGCCGGCAATGGAGGGGTGTGAAGATCAGGGCCTTGCTTGGTTTGTGTTTCCAAAAATTTTTGAGAAAAATTCTCTACAAATAAGTTTTCAAAAGTAATCAAACCAAACAAATTTTCGTTATTCATGAACAGCTTATTAAAATTGTACTGCAATAATTCTAATTAGACCTCTGCAGCAGCAGCTCCGTACCATAAATTCTCCCATATTTGTAAGGCGGATTTGAAAAAAGAAACTTGTTTGTTTCACACTCTGATAGCAGAGTGTTAGGTGAGCAATGTTATCGACCGGTCTTTGAGTTACATTTTATTGTTTGGTAAAACTGTGGGTGGGGAGTTTTCCAAAACAAAAAAAAAAAAAAAACTGTGGGTGGTTTCAGCCTACACTGTCAATGTGATAGTGTAGGGACCAGTGACGACCCAGCCATTTTTGAAGTAAATGACAACTTTGCTCCTTTAAGCCTATTTTAGAAAAAATGAAATTAATGGCAAATTTATCATTTCAGTTTCACACATCATTTTAAACACATTTTTCAATACACAACTCAAATGAAAATCCATTCTATCTTCTCAAACACAAAAACTAAAATAACTTACTAAAATAACCAAAAAAAAAAACTAAAAAGCCTCTAAAATGGCATACCCGCCGTTTTCTTGAGCTCAGAGTCTCAGGGACTCAAAACAACAGTTAAATTTCCATTTTAAGATCAAAAACCTAGAGTTCAAGAGCAAAAATCAAAACCATGCAAATGGTAAGTCCCAAACTCAAAATCCATAGGATTTTATCCTCCATCTTCCAGAATCATGCAAGAAACAAGTGATTGATCGTGAAAAATGCCATGTATGACCAAAGCTTAAGCCAATTCTTACACTTCTTCTCTTTAAGGTTCTCAACATGAACTTACACCACCCAACTTCTTAATCCAACTTAAATTCTACAATTTTATGTGTAAATTAACTCAACTTCAAGAAATTAGGAAAGATTTCTTACCTTCAATGGTTGATTTGGCGAAGTTTGCTGAATTCATTTTCTTCTCCTTATTCCCTTTTGATCTCTAAAACTCTCTATCCCTCTCGAATCTACTAAGTTTACTCTCTTACTATTGAGTTCCCAAAACAACAAAATATCTATGTCTAATATCCTTAACCAATTTTAAGCTTAAATTAAATAAAATAAAATTCAACTAAACCACATTAAGGTTCAATATAATCTAGTTAATAAACTTAGTTATGCTAAGGTAAATTAGACTCTAATTGCTTAATCCAAACATTTAATTTTAATCTTATGGCTTAATGATTTAAACAAGTCTATTTCATATACTAACATATATGTTCATCATAACATAAGTCAGATAGCACATGACACATAATTAACACACATATAAGCACATGATTAAGGTAGCACACAGAATTAACAGTTAATTAAGGAGGTGGGTGTTACATTGGCCCTTCTTCTTCTTGGTGGATCTTGTTAGGGTTTTTTGGAAGAAGATTTTTTTTGGGGTGTGTAAAGTGTGCATTCAATGGCTGAAATATTTTTATAAGGATAATTTTAATATTATTTGAGAGGAGAGGGAAAAATAAATTTTGAAGGTTTTAAAATTTATAAGTGGAGACCCAAAGAAATGGGGGTCAAAAATAATTCATGAGATGCTAATAGCACTATTCATAAGGAGGTATTTGTAATTTTTCAAACTATAAGAGATAATCTGTATTTTAAACGAATATCCAGAGGTGTATTTGTAATTTATGAAACAAAAAGTTAAGTGGTCCTTATTAGCTGAACCGAACCGTTATTCGCACCGCACTCTGGGGGTGTTTGGGAACCAAAAAGCCAAGTCCAGATCGTCAGTCGTCTTCCCCTGCCGCCCTTCCTGCGGCGCCCCAAAATGACGTCGTTTTGGGGCCAAATTTCAATTAAAAAAAACAAAAACAGAACTGTTGTTTACAGTTCATGCTTCTCCAGTGTGCATCTTCCCCAACAACTCAGACGACCCCCCATAACCCTCCTCCCCCTCCGGCGATCCTCCCCCAGCCACATCACCCCCTCCTTGTTTTTCTTCTTCTTCCTCATTTCTTTCTTCTTTTAGATCTAAGAAAAGAAGAAAAAAAAAACAGAGGGAGAGGAGAATCTGGTGGGTTTAATTAAGAAAGAAGTTAGAGAGAGCAAATGAAATATGCTATTGGAGTTTGTATTAACCCACTGCTAGAGCATTTAAAATATTCTTCATCTTCAAAGTCATCATCCAAATATTCCATTTCCAAGAGACTATTATTGTCTCATCTTCCTCCACTTCGACTCTATAAAGCAAAAACACAAAATTTGGTAGGAATTTGGGAAAGAACAAGACAAAAATTGAAGTGGGTCAATACATCCGAGAGAAAAAGGGAGATGGGTTTGGTGGGTTTTGGATGGAAATTGAAGAAATTGAGAGATAGTGTGGTGATGGGTGGTACGGCTGAAGGAGGGTCGCCGTAGGGGGGGAGAAACTGGGGAGGGTTGCCGGAGAGGAGGGAGGGGCTAGGGGCTCGCCGAAGCTAGTGAAGAGGTGGGCGGCAATGGAGGGGTGTGAATATTTTATTTTATTTTATTTTTTTTGGCGATTCTCCTCCTCTTCTCTTCTTCCTCCTCCTCCTCTCTTTCTCTGCCTTCCTTCTTCCCTTATGTTCTGTCTTTGTTTTTTTTTTTTTAATTGAAATTTGGCTCCAAAATGACGTCGTTTTGAGACGCCGTAGGAAAGGCGGCAGAGGAAGGCGACCAACAATTCGGACTCCCAAAAAGCTTGGCTAAAATAGCCTCAAATTCAAAAAAAAAAAGCCTGTTAGCCCATTCTAATCCATTGATTCAAAAAAAAAAAAAAAACTGTGGATGGCTTCCGCCTGCATTGTCAATGTGATAGTGTAGGGACAAGAGTGACAGCCCAGCCATTTTTGAAGTAAATGACAACTTTGTTCCTTTAGACCTATTTTAGAAAAAATGTAATTAAGGATAAATTTGTTATTTCAGTTTCACACATCATTTTAAACATATTTTTCAATACCCAACTCAAATAAAAATCCATTCAATCTTTCCAAACACAAAAACTAAAATAACTTATTAAAGTAACCCAAAAAAAAAAAAAAACTAAAAAGCCTCTAAAATAGCATACCCGCCGTTTTCTTGAGCTCAGAGTCTCAGGGACTCAAAGCAACAGTGGTGCTGTTTGGTGTAGCTGTTAAAATAGATTATAGATTATAGCTTAACAGATTATAGATTATGACTTTAATCAGAAGCTGTTAATCTGTTTGGTATAGCTGTTGGATTATAGATTTAATTGCTGAGTAGTGTTTGTTAAATAAGCTGTGAAGTAGCTTTTTTAATTAACTTTTATTTTTTATTATTCAGTATTTGTCTACATTTCTCATAAAAAATAATAATAATATTTTATAGTCCATTTGTGTCTTTTTCTATTTTTAAAAAAATAAAAAAATAAAAAAATCTAAAAGTATAACCGTGAATTAATATGTTCACAGCAGAAGTTGATAATCAGAAGCAAGGGGTGAGCAGCTTCTCAGAATCAGCTTTTTTCACTTAAAATAAGTTGTTAGAATCAGAAGTTGTTTGAAATAAGTTTAACCAAACAGTCCAAAATAACTTTTTAAAAGCCAGAAGCCATAAGTTGGCTAAAAAAAGCCCTACCAAACACCCTCAGTATATAGGTAATCTCTCTCTCTCTCTCTCTCTTAGACGCCATTGCAGTTGTATATATCTTCTTATGCATGCTAGGGTTTCAATTTGAAATTGGTGAAATATGTGAATGATTATTGTAGCAATTAGTTTTTTTTTTTTTTTTAAAATTTCAAGAAGCATTCTTTGTTAGGGTTTTATACCATGCTTATTGACTGAATGATTTCAATCATCATTTTTGAGAACCGAGCATTCAGAATCTATGGGAGTGGCTTCTCTACTGTTGGGCCCATGGGGCCACCACGCCCCATATCGATGATTCAAGCCGTTAAATGGGTAGAGCGCGTCAAGTATTTTATATCTGTAAAAAAATCACATTGGTTGAATATCGGTAGTCTCTTGATCAAATGTTACCATTGACAAAAATGTGTTCCGATCAAGGGTTAACGACATTTAATGAACGTGATTTTTTGCAGGCATGAATTAATCAACGAGCTCTACACATTGAACGATTCGGATCATCAAAACGATTCGGATCATCAAAACAGGATCTGTAGTGGGCCCCATGGGCCAAACAATACACTCCGGGCTGGAGAGAAGCCTCTCCCATTATATAAAGCAAAGGCTTCTGTTGGTGTCCTGAACCCTTTGTCTCTCATTATGGCAAGTATCTCATTTTTCTATATAAAAAATAAAAATGAAAAACATTACTTTATATTTGAGGGTGAGTAGACTTGAACCTAAGACATTAGGTTTTAAAAAAAATACTCTCACCACGTGAGTTTGTACAACATTTAGTAAATATATTGTTTTGTTGTTACTTATTTAAATTACCGCCAAACTGCTAGTTTTGTTAAAAGTGAAGAGGTTCAAGATTATGAGCATTTGAAGAGGTTTTTTTTTTTTCTTCTTTTACCATATGCATGTTATTTTAAATCATATTTACCAGTCTCAAGTACTTTTGAACTTATTTATCATTATCAAACTTGTTTTGTGAAATTGTGTTAATTTGAAATCGCAATTTCATTAAAGTCGTGTTGCGAACCCACGACTCCGAGAAACAACTCACTTTTGCTAAATACCTCGAAAAGGACTTGTGTCAGAGAAATAGCTCTAAAAGACACCTCGCTTAGGTAAAAAAAAAAAACTCGGTATTTCAATTTTGTAAAATTCTGATATTGTCAGCTGCAATTTAGGTGTTTGTGTTTGTCATCATATATGGGCTTTAGCATAAGGTTCGTTTTGTTTTGAAAACAAAGCTTTTTTACTCAACCGTTTTGCTGTCACAGTACATAACTTAGTCCGGAGTCTGTTGTTCTGGTTTTGTTCCCATAAGCAATTTTCTTTTTACTGTTATTGTTTTTGTGACGAAACCAACATTGGAGAAGGCCGAAAGTGATGTGCCATCGGTTTTGTGGGAAAACAAATGAATCAGTAGCCATGGATTTCCCTTTTATGGTTTCTGTTAGCTTTTGATGTCTTTACTTGCATTCAGAGATATTCTATTTAGTCGCATTTCTGCTTATGTTTTTTATATATCAAAGTTTCTGGTATTTGATTGCTTGTGTATTAGCTATTCTTGCTGGTTATGGATATGGAGACTGCATATTTTTGACTTTGGGATTGTAATTTACTCTAAATATCTTACACCTTGATACTGTTGTCATCATACAACTGAATAAGAACATGAACATTTTCACGTAATTTTGAAGTAACCCATTCAAGGATTTAATTCGTGTGTAAAATACATTGTTCACCTTCAGCCTTTTGTGTATCATAGTTTAGTTTTTGGTGATTTTTTTTTTTTTGTTATGTCATACTAGGATTAAGTTGATTATATATATATATATTCTTGTAAACCATCTCCTATATAATGGAGGTTCCATTTGATTGCTAAATACATCAAAAACATACAGAGCTAAATTGCTCTCTCAATCTCTCTCAATTTTCTTATAAGGAGAAAGCATATTAGATGCCATATTTGATGGGGATAACTTGGAAGATGCCCAAGATGTTGAGATGATGGAGGTAGAAGAAGGAGAGTTGGTGGGGCAGGATTCTCAAACTGAATTGGGACAAAACATCGGTGGAGACGTTCACCCAGTAAATCAAGAAACTAGCAATAACAATCGCAGACGTAGGAATAAGAAGAAGAAGAGCAAGAAAAAGAAAGGCAGTTCAGGGCCAAATGTGACAGATATCAACATGTTCTTGTTTCAAGAAGCATTCTGCTTGCTATATTAATGAAAGAAGAAATAGTGGAGTCTTTGTTTTTTGGTCTTTCAATACAATAGAAGTTACAGCCAAATGGCTCAAGAATTGGGGCTTTTGTCCTGGCAACCCCAAATATCATGTAATATTAGGCTGTTTTCTTGACAAAAGCATTATGCTGTTTGTTTATTAATGAAAATAACAAATTAAGGGGGTTTTATTGAGTCAATGTGTTGAACTTCACCTCCACTCAACAAAGCTTTTAAACAACTATTTGGGCTGGATACCAAACTTCTCTGCTCTGTTGTTAGGACCAATCTAAATTTAAATCACAAGTCATGTTGTGAGTTAGCTATTTGAGAGTTATCCAGCTTGAGTTACGAGTATAAATGATTTTTTTTTTTTCTCCTTTTTCAGGAAGAAGGAAAAAGGTTATTATCTTCTTTTTGGTCTTCCATGTACTTTTAGCATGTTCATTGAAGTCATTTCAATCCTTATTGGTATAGTCAATTGGTCATTGTTGTACATTTGTGAACTGTTTTAGTAATCCTTCTGTTTTACTGTGCTATGGATTCCACTTCCATCAAAGAACTACATCCATTGTATTAATTTGTATCCATTGATTATTGGATATGTTTTTGAAATATTTAAGTGCTTTTGTTTCGTCCGATACAGACTGAAACTATAGCAAGAGAAAGCAGCATTCAGGCTTTACTCTATATCTCTTATATTCTATGTCAAAAGGAAGAAGAGTGTTTTTTTCCTTCCTGATAAGTTTGAAGAGAGGAGGAATTCACATTTGGAAACTGATTTTATTGCTTTTATGCCATTTGCAGGTTTGTTTCAGATGTTTGTAAACACTTGAACGAGAAAAAAATGTATCTGATGTACACTGCTGTGGGTTGCCTGGGTGTGTCTGCTTTGAGTGACCTTGTCAAAGAGGTATCATTTCTATTTCATTTCATCTAATATAGTGGTTTATGTTGCGGATCTTGGGCACACCAGGGGACACTCACAAGCAAAAACACAAGACTTTTAACGTGGTTCGGCAAACCGGCCTACGTCCACGGGAGCGATGTTGTTATATATCAACAAATGGAGGAGATTACACACTCTCAACTCACTGTCTCTCTATATAACACACTCTCTCACACTCTCTGATACACAAACAGAATATAGCTCTCACTAGCTCTCTCTGTTTTGTGCCTCTCTCTCAGCAGTGTGTTTCTCTCTTACTTGCGATGTTTGCCGTGTGTTCAACTCACCATCACCATTCCATTTTATACACCAAAACAGAAGGTGGAGGAGGCCTCATGGGTGTGTTGGCAAGCCTCATGGCTGCCAACTCAAGCCTCATGACTTGCCAACTCATGCCAACCTCTTTTGCCTTCCTTTTACCATGTGGGTTGGCCACCCTTCCATGTGGCTGCCAACTCAATTTGGGTTGATCTCCTACAGTTTATACTACTGGTGTTAGGTTTGAAGTCATTGATAAATATACTAAAACAATGGGTTATATATGAAATAGAAGGATTTGTGTGATTGTGACTAGTAAAATTGTAAGATATGACATTTTGTGCATGATATAGGGAATAAGCTCATATTGTTGTCCACCAAGTATCCAATAAATGCCAGCCTATTTGATGAAAATATGAAAAACTTATTTTTTTAATTATGGACACATTTGAGAATTGTCAGATGCATATTTAGGAATGCCAAGAAATGTTGGTGTTCTAAGTTTATCAATCAGACACATCTTCTCAAGCGTAGTGAACTGATTGATATTTCATCTGCCAATAACGCATGCTTAGGTAGTAGTTCACATGTGATCAAATAGAAGATGTGAACTTACATACAATGTGGAGGAGTTATTGTTACAGAAAGCAGTAAACATTGTTTAATACTTGAACTGAACCAGGATGGATGGCTGAGAGATAGTGCGTCATGAACATATGAAAGGCATGCTTGCTATCAAGCTCATTCATTGTAGCACTTCATGTGAGTAGTACATGTTGTTTTCAATGTTCCTAGGATTTTCTCTGTTGCTAACTTATGTCGAGATGTATCAAGAATTTTGGCTGTTATTACTTTGAAATTTTTAATTATTTTTTATTATTATTTGGAAATGTGGTAATATGTTTACAGTGTTTTGAGCATCACATTCTTTAGTCATTACAGTATCTTTGTATTATTTTCCCCTTTTTCTATTAGTTTTCATTTTAGTGTTCAATTTTAACTAAATGTAGAAATTGCAGGTGGATGCAATTCAAGCTTGTGGAGGTCAGAAGACTGCCAATGGAAGACACTTTAGAAATGGTGGTGGCATATTATGGAGTGTCCTGAAAACACGAGACCGGAATGCATTTGAAGAGATAATGAAGAAAGGGAAGGAGTTTGAGGTGTGTGTGACAACTTACAATTCTGTATTTTAGTATTCAGTTCTATAAAGTTCCTCATCCAACGGCAAGCTCCCGGCAACTTAACTGCTAGTGCTTTTCCATTTTTCATTTGCATGCATACATGTGCACATATTGTTACTGTGTAGGTGTAATCTTTTTTTATTACTTATGATACAACAAATTGGGTGTTTTTGGTAGAGGTAGTAGTTGTTAAGTGAAAGAATTGCAATTGAATCCAAAAGGAAGAGGATTTATGCAGCATAAAAAACTTATTTTTTTAGGTTCTACTTGGTATTGGGGAAATTTTTTATTCCTTAATATCTTTTTATTTGGCTCTCCAGATTATGTAATGGCCATGCAGATATTAATTTACAAGAATGATATTTGTTGTGTATGACTTGACAAACTCTCAACACACCATGTCTGGGAATACATACATGGTAATTTGGCAACCTTCTCCATTTGAAACTACATATTTGTTTAAACTAATTTCTCTGTGACTACCTCTATCTAGCATTATGGTGATCCCTGTGTCCATATAGCTCCTTTAATTTGAGTTGCAGTAAATTCTGCCAGCAACAACAGCATCAAAAGATTATTCCAGTTCTTGTATTTCATTATATTCTGTTTTGTTGTATCACTCAAACTGGTGGTTGATATTACGTTAATTTACAGCCATCGCCAGGTGTTTTGTTTAATTTTATTTTGCTGTTTCACTCCAAAAAGTGTTGTATTACGTTGACATGGTTTCATGTGCTTTTACTTTGTAGTGGATAATAACTGATGTGTTGTGTTATTTACCACTTTGCAGAAGCAATTCAAACCGCAAAACATCAGGCAAGGCCCGGTGCAGAATAAGGAAATATCTCCTGAAAGAATGAGTCACACATCCACAGATCGGACTATGAGAGCTTCAGATGGTTCATGGTTAGTTCCCCATGTGCAAAACCAACTTCAACAGTCTAATGTTGAAGGGAAACATGTATCTGTTTATGATAGAATGAGGGTGCCGGTTTCATATGATGACTTGCTTGGAGAGGAGGATCCGAAAGACAAATCAATTTGATGTGGGATGAACTGCATGCTTCTGTGGCTTGAATGGTGGTTATGATAATTTGGTTCTCGATTTGAAAATCTTTTTCAGCATTCTCTTTCTCGGCTACTAAGGTAACAGGACACATGTCCATTACTCATTTTTTTGAAGATGACTTTTGTTTATCTTCCAGCAAAGGATGAAAGGGAAAGGCGAAAAAAAGAAAAGGAAAAAAAAAAAAAGAAAAAGGAAAAGTAAAGGAGAAATTGATTTTTGTTCGAAAGTACAGGTGATTGGTGTTATTCTTGATATTGTGGATGTATATCTTGATTGAAGGAATTTGAAATTCAATAATGAATCCATACAATTAAACAGGAGGGAAGAACAGATTAACACTGTCAAAAAGGGTCATTACTCTGAGGCGGGTTTTGGAATAAATTTTCAGAGTGCAACTAGCCTCTGTAGTTCTTTAGTTAAAACATCTAAATTAGAATCTTTTAATCCAAGAAGATTTAATAAGATTTATTTCAAGTTTGTTGAATAATTAATTCAAGCAGAATAACTAGAGCAATCACAAGAGAGAGACAAACATGAAAAAGCTAAAACTTGGAAAAAAATCGTGAACCCAATAATGCATTCACTAGTATTCAATCAGGTACAACTTTCAAGATCCGAATGTAAGATATCATTTATCCACAACACGTTTGTTCCATTCTTTTTTGAACTTTTGGTCTTCACTAGTCTGCATCAAAGCGACCACACGAACACAATCACACAATCAAATATAAATGGCATTTCTGAGCTCCATCATCAGAGAGATAAAAGAAGAGCTCTAGTTAAATTTTATCATCGCCATTATTTGGGATGGAAATAACACACTATTGGATATGAATTTAGAAGAATGGTTGCATAATTTTAACTTTGACATTAAGAATTGCACACCATTAGAATTGCTTTAATAGAAAAGATGAAGCATTTAGCATGCTGCCATTTCAGGACAGTGAAGTGAACTTCTATGATAGCCGCATTCGTATGTGTGGCAATACTCAATATAAATTTATAGATTAGTAAAATGAAGCTTTTAGTTACTCAAAATTATCAAGTATTGATAGATTAAAAATTATCTCAAACGAGGTGAATGGTTAGAGAGGTGGATGCTCCACCATTCGAATCTCATTACTGAGTGATATAGTTTCTCAATCCTTTATTCCCCTTTTTACCAATATATAGCCAAAAAAGTGTCTTAGGTGAGTTGACTTGGATGCTTTAGTAATTAAGATTTAAGTTGCTCAATGACTCACTGGAGAGAGATGTACGGTGCTCAAGTATGGAGAAGACAGGCGAACAACTCTTTTTAAGCCATCAAATGCAAAGGTGGTGGTGGTGGTTGTTGCCTCTTGTGCAAAAAGAGGCAGAGCACAGTGCAGTCATCTATCTTTGAGGAAGGAAACATATGTTTCCAAGCATAAATAGCGGCGTTTACCACTGCTCTTGCTTCTGCCTCCTCACTATCTGCTGATGATACAATATATGCCACTTCCTTGCTTCTCAGCACATCCCACACCTGAAATCCCCACATATAAGATACTCATACACAATAGCACTTAATTTTTCTCTTCTTTTAAGAGAAAAAAAGGTGTGCAAAAAGTTTTGAAAAGTAATGCTAGGGACCAAGAACTTAGATATTAAAAAATATATATGTACACTAAAAAAACAGTATGGTCTAAATTCATTCTAAGTATGGGTCGCACCATATAAGAGTTGATTTCTTGAAAATTCAGAGGTCTTGTGTTCGGAGCCCACGAGACCTATGAATTTGGTGTCTGGATGAACCCATCTTGGTAGAAAGTTGATTTGGTGTCTCTTTCTTTCATGTTCTCATGTGTCAAGCTGTCTCTACCACACAATCGAGCTAGATGACCCATCATGGTAAAAAGACGATTTGGGACCAAGAGAGTAGAGGACAGAATTTGTTCTCTTGGCTTACCCAATACTTGTGACTTGTGGGTGATTATCCCCTAAACGTCAAGAATTCCATTTTTGTTCTTGTTAAATGTGCTTCAAAATGTTATGTAATATGAAATTAAGTTCATCTTTTTTCTTTTTCTTTTAATAATGGATGATATGAAAGTGTAGTAAATAATGTAAGATGGACTTCTACCCCAGCAGAAGCAAGGACAAGAAACTGATCATTAGGAGTGAGATGGCGATAGGACAGATCAGGGATGGCAACGAGGCCATGGTTTTTGAGTAGGAAGTCTCTGAAAGCTTGAGACATGGCAAGGCCTGGGGAGTCCTCATGTGGCAACCACACTCTCTCAATCCCAGGCTCTTCCATCGCTGCAAATACTTGCCCATTGCTCTTCCTTATTCGTTCTGCTTCCATTGCACATTACAAATGCTAAAATCCATCACTACTAAATCATCCTAAACATAGAAAGCATCACTCTTGTTTGCGCATGTGCATGTGCGCGAACAACAGGGACCGTTGGGAAACAAGTTTTTGGAAATGGACTTGGTAGGAATGTTACACTGTCTTACTGGGTAAACTAGGCTCTAAATCAGTAGTCAATTGAGCAGGCCTGACTACTCCATCCTCAGTCATTGTCCCCAACACCGCACTTGAGTCACCAAGATTAGCTATGACAAGATCTTCACCCTGTTTTAAGTACACAAATAATTATACAAAACACAGTTATTCCTTCAATCAATAGATATAATACGAAAAATAATATGTACATAGCTTGAATCTGGATTTGATGAGGTTAGAGAAATTCCAGCTGTCTGTTGAAGAATTGAAAGTATGGGTGAAAAAGAAGGGGTGAATGGGTTCGTATTCTTACAAGAAAAATGAAAGGAGAGAGTGACCGTAATTTTTTCAAGTTGACACAACCTACACTTCCCAATTTTGGTTAAATGACTGAGATTTCTCCAATTTCAAAGGGAGAGTTACTGTTATTTTTGAAGTTGACACAATCTAAACCTTTCAATTTTGGATCAAGTACTGAGATATCTCCAATTTCACTGTTGAAGTTGGAACTCCAAAAACAAACAGCGACAGTGGCAATTATGTTTTTAAGTTGACACAATCTATACCTTTCCGGTTGAACGATTGAGATTTCTTCAATTTTACCGCTGACAAAGGGAGAGTGACAGTGATTTTTGAAGTTGATTTCTCCAACTTCACAGCTCACGTTGAAACTCTAATCTAAGGTTGTATTTGGATTATGGATTTTAGTAAAAATTTGGAGAGGAAAATAGAAAAGGAGGATGAAATATGAATGAAATATAGTCACATTTTACCCATCTTTTTTCTTTCGCTTTACAAATTCCTTCTCAAATTCATAATCTAAACAAAGCCTAAAAGCAAATCCAGATTCACAAACCATGGAGACTTTTGTTGCTGACCTGTCTTATGACAACGACAGCTGTGGTTCCACTGCAAGAGCAGTCCAAACTCTCAAGAAGCTTGATCTCTTTGTCCATGGCCTTGAAGGCACTAATACAAGCCTCTTTCCATTTGTGAAAGGTCTTTTTTGGCACCATTGTTTCACCATCTTCTCTCTCTTTATTGATCTTTGTGAGAGCATTCTTTTGGTTTAGCAGCAGTGAAGGCAATTTGTTCCTCACCAACTTGCTCACTGTGTGACCATTCTTTCCATGTCCATCAAAAACTCCACAGAAAGCTCCATCTTCCATTCATAGCCCTTCCCACAGGAAATAAGTTCCGAAGTTGAACACTAATTTTTTGTTTTCCCTTGTTGAAAAGCTGCTTCTTTGGTATAATTTTCTTTTCTTGTTTTTTATTTTCATTTTTTGGAAAGCACATATCGTGGAGTTGCTTATAGGTTTTTTATTTTCAGAATGGAAAATGTTTGAAACCCATAAAAAATTCTCACAATTTGTGCGAGAGTGTTTAATACAATTTTTACTTAAAGCTTACGAGTTAGAAATAACTTAAATCAATTGCAAAAATATTATTTATCTGGAAGTTAAAAGAGGAATACTTTTAACTTTTGCTTTTTATTATCAAATTTTCAACTTGTGAAACAAAGTTCAAAACTTGTTTAACAGACTGTTTTCCAAAGAATAATAATAATAATAAATTGCAAACATCCCATTTTGTAGGAAATACAAAAAAGTTGTTTTCGAAACTTCAAACTCTGATTTCATACAAAAATGAAGACGATCGGTGTTGTTTTTGCTGCTTTTGTTTTCTGAAAACATAAAAAACAAATTTGATACTAAACATGCTTGAGAGAGAGAGAGAGAGAGAGCTGGTATAGAATTGCAGCATCTTGATTCAATCCTTTGCTTCATCACTAAAGAGAACAAAGTCTGAGTTTCATCACTACCACTAGTCTCCTCATAGTATACCACATTTTCATGCCAATCCTCACTCTCATGATTATGCAACAGATATGCAGATACCCATATATCAACTGATTCAAGTTTTCTTGATTATTGTATGCTTGCACTCTTAAAATCCAACATTTGGTGAATTAATGTTCTTATATAAGCGTTACGGACTTCATAAGGTGCAACTTGCAAATAAGCATAATATATTATATGCAGGTTGTGAAGTGAGTCCCAGTGAGCTGAAAAGAAAGAAAAAAAAAATGACACCTATTTTAATAATTCACTGTTATTTAAAATTATTTGGGTATTATTTTAGACTACCCCAAGACTCACTTAAAAGGGTATATGTGAGGTGTAACCATGTAGGATAAGCTAAGTCTTGAAGTAATTAGAAATTTATGTAGTTCTCAAAAGGAAAGGCTACTATATAAGTCTACATGCATATAACTCCACTATAGAATTGGATACAATTCTGTGTGAGGTGTAACCCATCCTATATGAAAGTGTTGTGTTTAGTTCGGTACTTTTTCTATTTCATGATCATAAACTGAATGTGATAAATGTATATAATAAGGTCCATCACTTTATGTCAATTTGATGCTTAATATGTAACATAGTCACGTGTTGTCCCTTGGCATCAAAAAAGACAAAAACAAAATCAAAAGCAAAGCAAAACCAAAAGAAAAGGTCAGCCTTGTCAAATAGCATCACTAACAATCAGGTGTGGGCATATGAACAGGTGAGTTACCAAAGTCTCCTAAAATTCATGGTGAAGTTGCTTTTACCAAGTCTCCTAGAACTTTAGGCTCAAATGAAAGGCCAACGTTGTTAAAAAAAAATGTCAAAGCATCACTTCATTATGTTGGTATTATTATAATGCCCACCTCTTTTACAGTCTTAGAAAACAATTTATAAAACATAATCAATAATTGAAATTAATTGTATGTGCAAACCCATTTTATATCTCAACCACATATAACATTTTTTAATTTTATTTCTGATTCATATTTATAGACTTTCTCTTATAATGCCTCCACAGGTTTAATGAACTTTTAAATTTAAATTTAAATATATTTTATTCAAATATAATCCCACTCTCAACATTATTTAAATATATTTTATTCACCCAAAAACTTTTAAATTTAAAAATAAAAGTCACATAGCACAAGCAAAAAACTTAAGCATGCTAGTGACCTAAATTCATCCTGAGTATACTATATGGAAAATTTTACTATACACACTTTATGAAAGGAATATGCCATTTTTATTTTTTAGTTATAACAATATTTTAGTTATGACACATGAGATATTTGGTCATACTTTATGTGGTGTTTGATTATATATATATATATATTTTTTAGGACTCCGAAAATATGAAATTATGCTATTTTCTTCTTTAGTTACAAGGTATATATGATATATAATGGAGTAAATACCATAGTCTTACCCATACTATATTGTTAGTACTGTGTATATTTCACCTTGGAAATGGTTTTGAGGAAACCCGATTGTGTTATTTTTTTGTTATTATTGATGATGAAAATAAAAATAAAAATTATGTGCTGAACAGGCGTGTTTAGATTGCAATAGTCAGAGTTGAAAGCAACAAACTAGACTCAGATTTGAAAATCCATTCCAGTTTTCCATGACTAAAAAAAAAATATGTGTCTATACATTCTACATATTCATACACAGACGAAACAATGTTGTACACTCATAAAATTACAGCAGCATATTGCTTCTAAACCTAGGAGCATCACAGAAATGAAACCAAGCCATCCAAACCAACAACATTTTTCAACCGTTGATGTTTTCACTGGCTCGACACCAGAACACTTTCTTCAACCGCTGTTGCTGAGTCAGCCGTGGGCGACTTTTTCATGAGGGACTTGGGAATATCGATGTTATCTTGCAGACAACGTTGTTGAGGGTGTGACAAAAGTACGCACATGTGACGGAAGAGAACACGCGATAGCCCCTGCCCACTCTCCAAGATGTAGCCTTCGTACTCGGTAACATTTTCTAGGGCATCAACGAGCGCGTCATAAACTTTTTGGGGACAGTTGTCAGGTCCAGGCTTGTCGTGAAGGCAAACCACGTCCAAAGTAAAGAGTTTCTGGTTTGCAGTCCATTGATGTTGTGGTTGTACAGATGATCTGCAGTAGATTAGGATCTGAATTGCAACAGAAAAAGTGCATTCTGTTAGATTCCATAGGAGAACAAGCACCAAAGTAAATAGGGTAAAATGCACAAGGATCAAATTGTCCGACACAATGTTTTCTGCACAAATTTGATGTGAACTCTTGTTCAGAGTCAACTTATTCAAAGAAGAGAGCAGGTGTCACTAAGGCTTTGCAAGGTAAAAGAAATTTGACTTGAAATAAACATGGACGGAAAAAAAAATCAAAATATGTGAAAAACAAACAAACAGAAGCATTTCAAATGATATTTGTAGGTGCCAGAGAAACGTAAAATGGGATTATTTCTTATCATGTTTTTCCTGAATATCCCCCTCAAAGGTTTTTAAGTGCAACCTGCTAAAACATATAATTGTATGTAGTTTGCAATAAATTTTTGTCTTGAGATAACAAATAACACACAAAGACTATGGCAATGTCAACAAAGGAAGAGCAAAACAGTTTTGTAGCTCAATTAAACTCGCAAAAGCCTCAAACCCAAGAAATTGAAGCTAGCCAAACCCCCCCTCCCCTCTCAAAAAAAAAAAAAAAAACCTTCTTTAATTTGCAGCAACTTCCAGTACTCAATTCACAGCTCTTGCACTTTTGGTGCCTTCAAGAAAATAATAGAATACAAGACATCACATGGTTTATTCAAAACCATGCTAGGATCCACAAACTCAAAAACCAATAAAAAACCAAGAAGACAAGTAACAATCTCGACAGTGCTTAGAAATGAATAGCTATGACATCTCCTTTTTCACTTATGCTCTTTAAAAAATTATTCCAGTTACTCATTTACTTTTCTTTTTAATAAGTTTTACTGCACCATTTTCCCTATATGATTTACATGATTCATCTGTAAACCTAAATTTTAAAAATACAAAAGAACAACAAAACTAACATTTCATTCGGTAGAGAATGGAAGGTCTTTCATGAACTCTAGGGTTCTAATACTGTGTTTGGATTAAAAGAAAAACTTACTGAAAATAGTGCTTCTATTAAAATACCCACAAAAAGGTACTCAACAAGGTACTTGAGCACAACAAACTCCTTCCATCAAACCTGCCTTAATACCAACGATAACAAAATAAATTGTGACTTTATTGTACCATACAATGATGCACGTATATCCAATTCTCCTCATATTTTCTTATTCATGACGCATAAATGACTTCAATAATGGTTACAATAATACATTATTTTTTTGTGTGATAAATAATGGTTACAATAATACATAAAGAACAATGCCTCATATAACATAAATTATGTAAAAATAAACTAAACTAACCTACAGAACCTCACCTAGATATGAAAATAAATGCAAAATATTTTAGTCATGTGATGGAATGGAATTCATTGACTAAAGCATTCATGTGTGGGAGCCTGTGAATCACAGATGGAATGTTCCAGAAAGGAAATATAAATGGAGAATGATATCGCATATAATTTAAAATAAAAATACAGAAAGAGAACCAAGAAACACAGCAATCAATATTGCCCAGGTAGCCAAGGCCAACGGAACCAGATGTCCATAGATGAAAGCTTACGGAAATCAGCCTCAAAATATTCATCAGAACTTTGAATCGGTTAACCGTAAGAAAATAATGCGCTACGCTACCTACCTACCTTTTCAATGAGAGAGAGAAAGAGAGAATTCATGGAAATTTCTTCTTCTCTTGTTCCCCCACTTGGCCATCTCAAAGTTAAGATTAAGGCCTCATTTGGATGCCACTCTGTTACTAGCTTTGGGCTTCAGCTTGTAGCTTATGAGCTAACAAAAGGCCACTTATTTATTTATTTATTTATTTTAAAAAAAATTGGCTTCTAAACATTTCTAGCTTTTTCTTAGCTAAACGGCCTTTAAGTTATAGGACCTTATTTTGGGAAGTGTCATAGATACATATATCATGCATTTACCAGGTTTAATTTGCACCCCACAATAAACTACACGAAACTACTGGTACGTGGTATCAACTTTTCAGAGTTAATAAATGCATGAGCTGTTACAACTAAAAGTGTACCCAAACATTACTCACAACTCTAAGAATCCGATTCTGAGCACGGGATTTCTTTGCTTCATGAGCTGCAATTCGGAATAGCTGGGTGAGATCTGCATGACCAGAAGATGAATCTACTGACAGCCCCCGAAATGCAGCCATCGCAGACTCAACTTCACTGCTGAACTCTTTTCGAAGCTTCATAATATCAAAAGAAAAAATATAAACAATCACTGAGTTGTTTTGATAGGTAAGAATGTATCACTGAATTATTTTGAATAATTAATCCAATAAAGGAAGAACATATCTCTGATAATTTGAGCAAAGGTAAAACTTCTACAGAGATTAAATAAAAACACAAGACTAAGGTGGTTTTGACTGGCTTGTCAAACCAGCTTTGTGCATTAAGCACACAATATTGTAAAGTTAATGTGCCAAGGTAAATTTATGATGCTATGAGGCAAAGTATGAAATGCATACAATAGAGCAGGTCATAAAGAAAAGGACACATCATGTAAAGCATGCAGTTCCCCAAATCTTATGCTAAGTAGGAAAGGATAAATTTGTATAGAGCACATGCCATGCCATAGCAAACAAAGCTGTTTTTTAGTAATTTTTTGGCTTAGAGCCAAATCAAATAAAGCTGATAATACATGATGTTCTTCCAAAAGGAGAAGAATAAGAATAATATACCAAATATTCTCATTGCCAGTTAAAAGATGCGAGGAACTTGCAAGTACATAGAAAACACAAAGGTACTCAGAGAAAATAAAACCACACAACTACATTTAAAGGCAAAAGTACTCATACAAAATGCAATTATGCAGCTAGATGTGCTGAAAAATGTTGCTAATTATGAAAGTTTGATTCATGCAAACTTAGCATATAGATTTGTAACAAATTCGTAAATGAAGATATCATGATGAGATTGATTAGCAACTAAAACTAGTATATCGACGGTGAACCTTGAAACTAAAAATGGTTGTAAGCTGGTTGTCTAGTTTTAAAATCAAGCACTGAGAGAATTATAGCATAAGTCCACATGGACTGATAATACCCATATACATTCTGATTTCTCATTCCAAAATAATCATTTTGAAATAACTTTCTGTTCACATATCTTAAAAAGGTGTGTAGATTTTCATGAAACTTGAAGAAGAAAAGTCAATTGAAGGTAGTAATTTTTTAGATGATTAATAACATTGTTCACTATGTTTGAAATGATTAGTAAATTCAGGAGAGAAACCCAGAATTACATTAAATACAGCATAGGACCTTAAAAGTTAAGAATAATAGGAATACATGTGCATATACGCGCACGCACATTCACACATGTATATATGAGTAAAATGGGCTATTTTACAGAAAAAGAAAACAATCAAATTCTGTAATTTTGAGCCCCTTTTCTTCATTTTTTTGGCAATAATTTACAATTGCGATGGTCATTGTACACTTGCACAAGCATTAACCTGGAAAATATTGCGGCAAATCGACAATTGACTCGAAATGCAAACCCGTTTTCTCAATTCCCAAACTAATGCAAACCCATTTTTGCATTAAAAATACCCTCCAAGAACAACAAAAAGATCATCAATTCGACCAATCCACACAAAATTCAAAACACAAATCACCTAATCAAGAAACTTCTATATCTTGGTAATTCAACAGATACCCACAAAAATTCAATCCAAACAATCATATAAAAACTGAAAAAGAAAGCAAATTGAGAGTACCCAAGAAGCCGATTTGCCGAGGGAAGCAAAGGCGAAGCGGTGATCGGGATTGATGGTGAGCTTGGCATTGATGAAGACGAGGATTGCTTGTTTGATAGAGTCCAATCTGGTGATGGATCGGCCACTGGGGCCAGTAACTTTCATTTCAGCGAGCGATTCAGAGCTGACATCGATACAGAAGAGTATGTCTTCGCTAGAGTATCGAGATGGTGGGAATGAATAGCGACCAGGTGGTGTAGAGCTCTGCCCCTCTACTCCTTCCATGGCTTTCTCTTCCTGGTTCGTCTGTCTTTATCAGCAGCAGAGTACTTCTTGTGTACTTCTTTTCTCTACAGTTTCGATGGATTGACGATTCGATTGAATATATTCCAGTGGGTATTTGAGAATTTGCTATTTTAGAGCACACACATCGAACTCAACAAGTTTTCAACCAAATTACAAATTTAAAAATCACTTTTTTATTTTATATAGCTCTCTATTTAAATACTCCATCATTAAAGCATCTCCGATTGTTGTTATTATAATACCATTATTATTATTATAATTTGATAATAAATAATATTATTTTGTTAAATTATAACAATAATATTTTAATAGTTACTTGTTATTTTAGCAATTCTCAACCAATTTTCTCTCTAAGTTTGTAAATGTGTTACTTGTTATTTTAGTAATTCTCAACCAACTTTCTCTCTAAGTTTATAAATGTTGTTTGGATATATGACTTTTTGTGATTTTATTTTTATTTATTTATTGCCTTTTGTGAAATTTTTTAAACTATTTGTAAAAAAAAAAATTATATATTTATATTATTCCCGACTAGATAAATATAAAAAATTTAAAAAAAAAATAAAAATTGATTTTTTTTTTAAAAATATAATTCATTCCACCAAAAAATTTAAATATAATTTAAGGCAAACAGAGCACAACGACTCTTTTTAATTCCAACACAGATCCCCACCGTCCACCTACCCTCAACCAACGGTTGAGATTATATCTCTAGAATCATCTTTTCAATTCCAAGACATACAACAGCTGTCTTCACTGGTTCTCTCTCTCACTCTCCTTTTTCCTCACCCTCCTTCATAAACGAAGCTTCTCTCTGTCTGTTTCTCTTCACTCTCCCTGTCACTTTTCTCTTCCCTTTTCATCATTCTTCATGGAACCGTCTCTGTCTCTTTTGTGTCCCTGTGTTTGAGCTCAAGAGCAGTCAACACTACCGATCTGTCTCTAATCTGTTTACAATCGTCGATCTGTCTTTTTTCTCTTTGTCCTCAAACCTCTCCAATCTCTTTCTCTCTTCCATAAATGAAGCTTCTCTCTGTCTCTCTCTTTACTTTTCCTCTCACTCTTCTCTTTCATTGTCCTCCTCCCTTATGGAACCATCTCTATCTCTTTGTGTCTTTATGTTTGAGCTCAAGAGTAATCAACACTACCGATCTGTCTACAATCGTCGACCTGTCTATTTCTCTTTGTACTCAAACCTTTTCGGTCTCTCTCTCTCTCTTCAAACCAGTATACTCGCTGATCTGTGTCTTTTATCTCTGTCTCTAAACTCTCTCTCACTCTCTTTCTCTGTGTCTCTGCCTTCGATTTGTCTATTGTACGATTTCTCTCTCTCTCCTAAAACCGATCACCGATCTACGATCTCCACAACCAGTCCAGTCAGCTGAAGAAGATGCTCAATTCCAATTAAGTCCTCAAACCCATTCCAAGTATTTATCGGTTAAATTCGTTTATAAATTTTATATTAATTTGTAAAATTGATTCTCAAATTTGCTCTGTGTGATTCTGAAATTGATTTTAAGATTTGTGTGCTTCTGAAATTTATTTTGGAATCTATTCATATTTATTCTGAAAATCCTGAAATTTATTTAGAAATTGATTCTGAAATTGTGAGATTTATTATGAAATTGTGCAATTTATTATGAAATTTGTTAATTTGGCTGTATATTTCAAATTTTGACTTGATTCTGAAAATTAGGAATTAATTCTGAAAATTACTTGGTTTTCTATTGTTTCAATTTTGTTTTTTCAACTAAATTTGGAGCCACAAATCTGTTCATATTTACTGATGTGACATGTTTGGCAGCTGCTATTTTATCTACCAAATTTAAGAACAGAAATGACATCTGCCATCTTTGGCAAGTAGAATAACAGGTCATTAGAGACCCACTTTTTGTCACTCTTGCCAAATTATAACTTTGGCAAGTAGTTTGGCAGCTTCATTAGAGATACTCTTAGACTTTCTATTCTAACTTTATTTTATTAAAAGAATATTTTATTGTCCATTTTTTTAATAATCAATACTCAAAAAAGTCAAGATAATGGAATCAAATTTATTAAAAAATAATCAATTATTGAATAGCTAATGAATAGTACCTCAACAAATTTATTGAATTATTGTAATAAATATAAATAATAGCTAGTCATAGAATTAATTTGTTGAAACTAATGGAGCAATGTTTTCATAGTTTACTAGTTATATTTAGCCAAAGAGTTAATTTGTTGAGGCTAATATGGATGCTTAGTAGGCTATTTTAGTTTTTGGTTATTTTAGTAGGATAAAATTTTTGTGTTTGAAAAGATGATTGAATTTTTTTATAATTAGATGTGATGTTTGTTAAAAAATAAATAAAATAATTATGAATTTAATGTGTCATTTTATTTTATTAACTATTTTAATTTTTTTTTTTCATAAATTTTAACTTAAATTAGGCTAAAATTTTTCTTGTCAAACGCTCCCATACAGGCAAGTGTGAATTGCTAGCGGAATGGAAATGAACAATGGAATGACGAATGAATGAAGGCCATGTTTGTTTGGGCGGATTGGATTAGCATTCCCATGACTAATAGTCCTAGCACTACGAATCTGTTGGATTATGTATCCTATCTTAACTAATAGTTAAGTTTAAAATAATTAATCCGTACTTCAATTATTTAACCAAAAATCAGATTAATAATTTTATTGGACTAAACATGACCGAAGGGTTTGCATAAAACTAGGTAATCGGGATTTTGGTCAGAATTTGTGCCCCAAAAAACATTGATCCAACATCTCCAGACCTTTCCTATTTCCATCAAGGCCATGTGGCTTGTGGGCTTTTAGTTTTGCAGCTCCTTTTATAATTTTAATTGTTCGGATTTTAAAATTTATTAAATATATTATTATATTCATATAAAAGATTACGTGAATTAGATAATGGTAATTATATATTTGTTTAGTTTTGTATGAATAAATAAATGATAAGAAAATATATAGTTCATATAAAATTTGTCTAAAAATAAATTTTTTATTATCTCACTGACTTAATTTTTTGATAATAATATTACACTTGATAAATCTTAAATTATGAACTATTCGAATTATTAAAGAGAAGCCCACTGGGCCGGATTAAACCGTTTAATCCTTTGATGGAGTGGAACACTCCAATCCCTTCCATCAAATTTGATAAAAAAAAAAAAGAAAATATTTTGTTTTTTTTTTTTTTTTTTTTTTTTTTTTTTTTTTTTTTTTTGAGGAAAAGATAAATTTGAGTAAACGGATTTTTATTTATTTATAATTTTAATAAAAATATGATGAAAAGGTTAAGAAGATTTATATCAAATTAAACTTTTTATTCAAACTTAAAATCAAATTATATGAAGAAAATTGATGAAGGATTTCAGATCCTCTTCAATATTTTACTTAATTCTAATGGTGTTTGTTAAAATAGCATTGTTATTGCTATAATTTGGTAATGAATAATGTTATTTTGTCAAATTATAGCAATAGTGCTCCAATAGTCACTTATTATTTTGACAAATCTCAACCAACTTTTCCTCCAAGTTTATAGGTGTTGTTTGGATAAAGATTTTTTAGTGATTTTTTTTTTGTGTGTTTATTTTTTATCTTTTGTAACATTTTCTCAATTGTTTGTTAAAAAAATATATATATTTATATTATACCCGACTAGACAAATATAAAAAATGAAAAATTTCCAAAAAAAAATTTAATGTAATTCACCCCACCAAAAAACATACCACTAAAAAAATAAATAAATGATTAACTACATTAAAAAATAAACAATCACCAATTACCCACCAATAACCATCCATTATTCACCCAACATTCAGTAACCAACAATCACTCACCAACAATCATCTATCATTCACCAACAACCACATACTCAACAACCATCTATTATTCATCCACCATTCACTTACCAACAACTACCCATCATTACCTACCCACAATTTTCTCTATAAATTATAACACAAGGTTTTCAACGATTTTCATATCCACCTACCCACAATTTTCATATCTTCTAAACTCTCTGTACCCACCCACAAGATTTTCTATAATTTTCATATTCACTCACCCACAATGAACAACTTCACTAAAGCCTTCTTCAATGGAGATTTTGATGAATTTTCATCATCTAGTGACGATATAATGATTATGCAATTGTTAACAGCACAACAACAAAAAATATAAGCATTAACTCTAAACCAACCAAGCAGACATGTTGGTTCCACAAGTGATCGTTGATACATTAATAATAAGAGGGTCAAAGGCGACGAACAAATTTATAGAGATTACTTTGCAGATAATCCTGTCACCCAGAAGAATACTTCCGAAGATGTTTTCAAATGAGATGGTCATTATTTCTTAGTATCTTACATGATATTCAACAAATCAATGAGAACTTCATCCAAACTCATGATACCACTGGTGCTCATGGATTGTACAAAAGATTACTGCTGCACTTTAGATCCTACAATACGGCGTACTTATTAATGTTGTAGACGAGTACATCAAAATCGGCGAAACTACTGTAATTGCCACCTTGAATTTATTTACCAGAATGATTGTTGCTATCTATGAAGGTGTTTATTTAAGATCCCCAAATGAGTCAGATGTCGCCAAATTATTAGAAGTAGTAGAGCAACGTGGGTTTCCTAGAATGTTAGGGAGTTTGGATTGTATGCACTGGCGTTGAGATAAATGTCTAACTGTCCAAGCCGGTGCTTACACTGGACACTTGTTACCCAAAAAGTAACCTAAGAGGGGGGTGAATTAGGTTTCTACAAATTAAAATTAATAATATCCAAATAAAATTAACTACTAGTACAACAAATTATTAACAAGCACAATGATGAACTTAGTAGTAAATGATCAAGCAAAATAACAATGAAGTATAACTAACATACATGGTAAATCAAATGATTAGCACATGAATATTAGATAGATATAGCAGTAGTAGGAAAATAAAGAGATTAGGGAAGAGGAGACAAACAGATTTATAGTGGTTCGGCTTCAACCAAGCCTACATCCACTCCTCAAGTTTCACTTGAGATTTTCCACTCTCGTCTAACTTCACAAGGTGCTAGCAACCTTTTCACAGATAGAGCAATCGTCCACAGATTTTATACAGACTTTCTAAGTCAAGAACACTGAGT